GAGGGTGTGGGGGGTAGTGAGGCTGAGGGTGGTGTGAGGGGTGGTGATGCTGAGGGTGGTGTGGGGGGTAGTGAGGCTGGGGGTGGTGAGGCTGAGGGTGGTGTGGGGGGTAGTGAGGCTGGGGGTGGTGTGGGGTAGTGAGGTCAGAGAGATCAGATGAGTCCTTCAGGACTGTAGTGGACACTGAATACACTAGCCTAGCTATCAATTTCCCTATGAAATCAGCAGCAGCTACACTGTCCCTCCTCTCACTAAGAATGCAGCTTCACAATGAATGTAAAATGGATGCTGTCCAGGAGGTGGGAGGGTCTGCTGCTGATTGGCTGGAATGTGTCTGCTGACTGTGAGGTACAGGGTCAAAGTTTACTCAATGATGATGAATAGGGGGCGGACCGAACAGCGCATATGTTCGCCATCGGTGGCGAACGCAAACAAGCGATGTTCACCAGGAACTATTCGTCTGCGAACCGTCCGGGACATCACTAGCAAAAATACATACATGCAAAAATACACAAACATACAGACATACAACCATACAAGCACACAGACATAATTTTTCAGGCACACAGTCACAAAGATATACAGACACACAGTCATAAAAGGCACAAGGCACACAAACAAACACAGTCATACAATCTACACATACAGGTACATTGTCATACAGACACAGGCACTCACAGAAATACAGACACAGACATAAAGAAACATAGGCATAGAAGTAACCTAATGAATGGTCTAATGTTAGGATCAATTAAACAATTAAATAGGCTATTTATCTACCACTCAAAGTTGGTGTAAGTGGAACTCTACTGGCTTGATGTGCACAGATAAAACTAACCACCAACCTCACCCTATCTTCAATTAAATAGGATCCATTAAACACAGACTATTTATCTCCCACTCAGTTTTGGTGTAAGTGGAACGCCTACTGGCTTGGTGTGCACAGCAGTAACATAACCACCAATTTGACACAAGAATAAATAAACAGGATCGATTAATTAAACACACACTATTTCTCCCCCTGTCAAATTGGAGTAAGTGGAACTTGTACTACTATGGGCTAGGATGGCACAGGAGTAGTACTACAAGTACCACCAATCTCACATTAGAATCAATAAAAAAAAAAATCTAAACAGGCTATCTTTCTCCCACACAGAGTTGGTTTACATAGAAACATAGAATGTGACGGCAGATAAGAACCATTCGGCCATCTAGTCTGCCCAATATTCCAAAATACTTTTAATTAGTCGCTGGCCTTAACTTAAGTCTAGGATAGCCTTATGCCTATCCCACGCATGCTTAAACTCCCTCACTATGTTAACCTCTACCACTCAGCTGGAAGTCTATTCCATGCATCCACTACCCTCTCAGTAAGGTAATACTTCCTGATATTATTTTTAAACCTTTGCCCCTCTAATTTAAGACTATGTCCTCTTGTTGTGGTAGTTTTTCTTCTTTTAAATATAGTCTCCTCCTTTACTGTGTTGATTCTCTTTATGTATTTAAAGGTTTCTATCATATCCCCTTCCCCCCTCCCCCCCCGTCTCGTCTTTCCTCCAAGCTATACATGTTAAGATCCTTTAACCTTTCCTGGTAAGTTTTATCCTGCTAGGTTTCTGTGTTTCTAGAGGTGTGCCCTCCCAACACAGAAGGCACCTGCCTGCTAGCTCACTATTGGCGTGGATGCAGACAATGTGAGAGATGATGGAGCCAGGAAATAACATCACCCCAGCCTCAAGGTCAGTAAATGTTTTTGCCCCCTGCCCCTGTGCCATGTAACAACAGACTCATCAGACCTGCAATAATCTCTACCAATCTCTGCAGTTATAAGCCATTCTCATAGCTGTGAGTTGGTGCAGGGGAGTCTTTGTGCTATGAATATTGCAATTATGCAAAGTTACTATGGTGCTCACCACTAAACGTTTTAAGTTGTGCTTTTGAGCTATAGTTCTCTTGCCATGTCATGCCATGTCTGTAATACATTGACCTGCTCACATGTGCTTAGTCAACTTTTATCAAAATTATGAAAAGTAAACAAACCTTATGTGTATACGCTTAGAGGAAATGTAACCGTCTCCACCCAAAACTCAAACTCTGGAGATTTCTGGGACAACTGCCAGTAATACCAGTAGACAGTGACATACACTGGAAAGCACTGTAACTGCTTGCATACTGAGTCTACATGTGATGGAATGTTGAGATTGTAAATATACTGAATAAAAGGGAACTCCGCTGTTCAAGTAGAAGAGGAAACTGTTGACAAAACAGCAGTCTATTGGTTTTCCCAAAAACTACACAATGGAGATCAAGATATTTTTTCTGCTATCGCTCTATAAATGTAAGTAAAGCATGACATACCAAAGTATATTTTATTTTAGTGTACTATTTTATTTAAAATGTGCCTACAAAATGATTTTAAGATACACCGGAACATATGCACACGTATCCTCGAGGTATACAGGTAAAGGTTAACAGGACACATGCTGTAAAATTGACTTAAACAATCTTTAGAAATTAGAAAAATATATAATTATAAGGTTAAAGTAGACAGAAAAAGGACACGTATAGCACATAACAGGTAAATACAACGTACATCAGTAATGAACATTGCAGTGAAAACTTTAAAATATTACATATTATGTAGATGACTTTTAATTTTTGATATTTTCTGGAAATTAACTTAGACACTGTGTTTGTACTATTTACTGCACATTCCATTTTTGGAATTTAAAATTAGATTTCTGCCAGATTAATAACTATAAATACATTTTCTGTTTATTATATGTACAATGAAAAAATAAATATATGACTATTTAGAATTGCATAAAAATAAGACTCTGCAAAAATATACCCACTTTTTAAAAAAAAATAAAGTAGACCTGTTTATTATTTTTTTGTTCAAAACTTGTAGCACCAGTGCTAATTATATTATTCGTCAATAACAATCAATATTTTTCTAACCTATGTGCTCAGTTATACGTAGGCTAGAAATCCATTTGATTCAGAAAGACTTTTTGCTATTACTTTGCAAACATTGTTTAACACTTTTTATTGTTATAGCATTTAGCTATATGTGTATCATATAATACATTAACTGAGTGTATGCAGGGTTTTGTTTTACAAAAAAAAATAAAGACTCAGATGTACAAGTCATTTCTACAAATAGTAATCTCACTAAACTGTGCAGATATTTTCATTGTTGCATTAAAAGGTATGTGCTCGTTCACATTAAAAAGTTTGACACATATACATAAATGTATATAAAGAATAAAATAATAAAAATAACTACAGACTCTGTAAACATACGTTAAGGAATACATTACCAGTTTATAATATCCTGTAATCTATATAAAATATTTTTATTTTCTTGCCTACAATTAAGTCTATCTACAACAATATTAATATCTTAATAATAAATTAAACGTAATATATAATTTTTTATAGTTGCAATAACATAGTGGATGAGCAGCACAGTTCAGCAATGCACCAACCACAAATCTTATATTATAATATATATCATCTTATATGTATCGTTTATATGGTAGTGCTAGTTAACCTTCTAAAGTTGGATGGAGATAACGGCTACATGGCACATATGGATTTGACCAAGTTTAGGTCCATTCACAAAGCTTTTTGAATTCTTTTGAAATCAGGTGCAATATTTACAAAGTTGAAATCAGTCTTTGTTCCTGCATGAATGTTTGAAATATTTTTTGTTTTATTGAATGGTATGTTCTAAATTAAATAGAGTGGATATAGGCAGGTAAAAGGGTCAAACTAAAATATTTACTCCAAAAAGTAAAAAAAATTAGTGTGTTGTAATTAAAGGACCACTCTTTAGGTCGTTCCCCACCCTCAGGGTCCCTCTCCCACTGGGCTGAAGGGGTTAAACTTTTACCTTTCTCCAGCGCCGGGCATTCAATCAGTCCATAGGAAAGATTTTCTCAATGCTTTCCTATGGACGTCAGCGCCTTCTCACTGTGATTTTCACAGTGAGAAGCGCAGAAGCGCCTCTAGAGGCTGTCAGTGAGGCTGTCCCATTGTAAGTGATTATACTTCATTAGGGGTATCCACCACTTCTTCCATATCCTCCAATAGGAAGCCATCCTTAGGACAAGCCTCCAAGACCCTTTTATGCCCATTCTCAGCCCGGTTTATACCCGGAAGTGACATCTCACCTTTCGCAACACGTCACTTCTGCTTTTCGAACGAAACTATTTCTTATACCTCCTCCCACACCTTCACCCTGGTCCGCATTTCCTCCACTTATTTTCACTGACGAACGGATGTCGGGCGGGGTGTGTCCATATCCAAAAGGCTCCACATTGCTTGTGGGCAGGAAAGGGGATAAAGGAGAAAAACATAAATATACAAAGGAGGTTCTTTAGTATACATAAAAAGGGATTGATATGAATCAGATGATATCTGCAGCCTCCTTTATGTAATTAAAGATCAGTTTACAGCGCAGGAGATAAAAACCAAGTTAAAGTAAGCTACATCTGATTGAAATGAAACTATTTTGCTTTCATGCAGGCTGTGTCAGTCACAGCCAGACGAGGTGCGGCTAGGGCTGCATAAACAGAAACAAAGTGATTTGACTCCTAAATGGCAGAGAATTGAACAATGAAACTTCAGAGGCATGATTTATACACCAAAACTGCTTTATTAAGCTAAAGTCGCTTTCGTGCCTATAATGTACCTTTAAAAATAAAAAAGAGTTCAGCAAAGACACAGCATACAAATATGGAAATCGCATATGAACCACAAGTTTTTTGAGATAGCAGCATAATACATGAGAGTAATAAAGCAGCCTTTTATACAAGTAGCTTATGACAGGCCTGAGTGAAATATTGAAACAGGTATATAACGAAAAGCAAGCAGAATGGGCTGCGTCATGACATAGGCGCGTTCGAACATCTGCGTGAGAGGAGGGGCGATATGGCGGAAGGGTGGCCGGTGAAGATCCATGCTGCTTGAGGAGACGCCGACAGCCGTGCCTGTCAGTCTGGGAAATACTAGCAACTAAACACTACAGGCTGTCAGTGGATGTTAGAGGACAGGAATTGAGGGGGATTACGAGAAATTGGAGATCTCGGAGAGGAGGAAAAGAGAGGAGTGACGAAACATCAATAACACCAAACTACAACAAAAGATAAGTGCTCTTCCTAAAGTTTGACTGTAAAAGAGGAGGAAGGAAGGGGGGAGGAATAAGGAAAGAGAAAGGGAGAGAAAAGGAAGGAAGGAAGGATAAAGGAGGAGAGAGGAGGAGAGGGGAGTAAAAAGAAGGGAAAGGGAAGGGAAAAAAAAGGGAAAAAAGGAGAAACAATATAAAAAGGAACAGATAAGGTTAAAAGATCGCAATTGCCTAAATAAAACACAGAATCTGGATTTTATAGAACACATTTATATCTCGTCAAATTTTTGGCAAATACAATCATAAAACCCATATTTATGAATAAATGGTTAATGATATATTAAATTGCAAATAGCTGCAAGTTGCCATATTGAATGGTTTTCAAATGTATTAATTATATCTAATAAGCCGAGAAATTGAAGGAAGAGAGATATCAACGAAAAAATAAAAAAAATCTACAGAATGGCAGCCAAAAAAACACAGGAAGATAAGAGAAAGAGGGAAAAAAAGGATCCCATTCCAGAGAAAAGATTGTCAGGATATTTCTCCCCTTCTCAAAATAAATCTCAAGCGATTTTGGAAACTCTGGATACCTCACCCCCTTCCAAATGTAACTCTAATCTTCCTGAAGATGAACAAGAAGGTAAACCTTTAACTGAAGAGATCCTAATAAATTATTTAGATAAACTTCTGGAGAAAATTAAAGAAGATATTCAGAAAGGGTCGTCACATTCAAAACAGGAATTAAGAAGTATGCAAGAAAAATTGGGATCTATAGAATCCAATATGATGCAAACTGAATTAAAATATGATCAAATACAGACAACTATGACAGACTTGCAGCTCAAAGTGGAACAATTAGAGGGCAAACTAAACGATTTGAAAGATCGCTCCAGGAGATCTAATATCAGAATCCGTAATATCCCTGAAATAGTTTTTAATGGATTATTTTGAGTCGTTACTAGCTGAAACTGGACTAAAAGATTCTGAATTAGAAAGATTCCACAGGCTCCCTAGACCTCGAAATATAGCAGAATCCTCACCAAGAGATGTAATAGTCAAATTTCAATCTTTTTACCTCAAAAATAAAATGATGGGGTCATTAAAAAATAAACCGGTAGTGGAAGAGATGTTCAAGGACTTAAAGATATTCCCAGATCTATCATTTTACACAAGATCATGGCGGAAAGGTTTTAGCCAGGAGTTGTCTACTTTAAGAGCAAGAGAAGTGAAATACATATGGGGATTTCCCAAATGCCTTAGGATGTTTTGGCAAGAAAAGACGGAAAAATTTATAACTTCGGACTCCCTGAGAAAGTGGATGGAAGAAAAACAAATGTTTGGAGCAGCGTAATAATAGAAGAGAGAAGATGTTTTGAAGGAGGGTGGACAGAAAAGGACAGGTTTGTTTATTTTTTTCAAGAAATAACCATTGGTAAATAGGAAATCTCTTTAAGAGGACCAATAGAATTACAAGGAAAACATTACAGTGATAATTAAAATTATTTTTTTTGATAATTAAAATAAAAAAATTTTTTTCTTTAACAAATGGTTGATGTATATAGTAGAAATATCACATAAAAGAATAAGTAAGGAGAAAGATAGCACAAAAGAAATAAGAAGGGCAATGCTTATTTATATATATATATATATAAAAATAAACATGTAAGCAACAATTAATTCTCACTGATATATTCATAACAAATGGTAACATAGAATGTTTATAAGAAAATATACACTCAGTTTTACAGATGGTGTGCAGCACTTGAAGATGATATATATATATAACTAAGTCAGCCATTTAAGATTATATAAGGATATTTTAATTTTTTATTTTTTTTCTTCCCCCCCTTGGAAGGGAAGGGGGTTGGTAAAATAAAAGGATCATGGTCACTCTTGACAGCTATATTGTCCCACCAAGTGTCAATATTTTGACACAAATACTGAGATATGGTAATTAATGTTACCATATTACAAAGACAGAACTGGTTCCTGGGGGCCAAGGTGAGAGGCAACCTCCCAGGAGTCAGGTCATGTCGGGCCAGACTGGGATTATTTCCCATAAGGCCATTTTTGGTCTACGTGATGTGGTGTATATGTGTTTTATGTAAAGCGTTGTAATCTTCTTGGGTACAGTGGCATTATCACTCTATGAATTACAATGGTGAAAATGATTTTGGTTAATGTCCAGGGTTTAAACTCTCCTAACAAAAAATCTCTAATTTATAATTATATGCTAACAAATAAAGTGGAAGTGGGTTTCTTCCAAGAAACCCATTGGACGGATATAGACAATCATGGTTGGGGTGGTTCGAGATTTCCTATAGTGATTCACGCTTCATTAAGCTATAAAAAAAAAAAAGAGGAGTAGCAATAGTCTTTTCTCATACATTAAAAGTGGAAATGACGCACCAAGTTAAAGATAAGGAGGCTAAATATGTTATAGTTTGCTGTAAATTAAATGAGATACCCTATACGCTGATAAATATATATCTCCCTAATGACTTTCCAGCTCCAACCCTAAAAAAAATCCTAGACTTAGTGGAATCCAATAAAACAGGTATATGTTTAATAGCTGGGGACCCGATATTAGATAAAAAGTTTACCTCAACACTATCACATCACAAATGAACAGATAAATTAGCGAAATCTATTAAGAGAAATATGATTCATTATGATTATTTTGACTTATGGGGAGCGCTTAACCCTGATTCACTGGATTATACGTTTTATTCGCGAGTACATTTTTCTTACTCTCGAATAGACATGGTTTGGGGAAATGCAATAGCACTAACAAATATTATTATTATTATTGATAATACCTGTCAGATCATAGCATTAATATGTGGGAGATGAAAAACCAGTGGGCCAGGACCAATCGTGAAACTTGGCGTATAGATGATAATCTTTTAAAGTATAAAACTAATTTAGAATTATTTGATAAACAAATTGTTGATTTTTTTCTTGTCAATGACCCGAACGATACCTCTTACATAAATAATTGGTGTGCTTTCAAATCTACCATGAGAGGCAATATAATTAGTATACAAGCACGATACAAAGCAGAAAATAATAAAGCCCTCCTGGTGTTTCAAGCAGAATTAAATAAGGCCTCAATTAAGAACAAGCAGTCCCCTTCTAGGAAACATGCAGATGCCCTGAAAATTGCTCAAAATAAAATTAATAATCTCCTCCTAGAAAAAAATGCAAGGGTTTTGAATAAACTTAATTCTAACTTTTATTATAAGGGGAAACGAGCAGATAGAATAATGACAAAAAAGCTAAGAGATAAAATTGGATCTAGTAAGATAGTGAAGATAGTGGATGATGAAGGTGAATACTTGGACCCCAAAAAGATAGGAGAGAGATTCAATAAGTATTACGAGGCTTTGTATAATCTTCCTCCCTCGTTCGTAATAGAGGAGGATTATTTGAGTAAAACTGTCACGCCTAGTATTTCATTAGAACAAAGAAATTATTTAAAGGAACACTATAGTCACCTAAATTACTTTAGCTAAATAAAGCAGTTTCAGTGTATAGATCATTCCCCTGCAATTTCACTGCTCAATTCACTGTCATTTAGGAGTTAAATCACTTTGTTTCTGTTTATGCAGCCCTAGCCACACCTCCCCTGGCTATGATTGACAGAGCCTGCATGAAAAAAAAAACTGGTTTCACTTTCAAACAGATGTAATTTACCTTAAATAATTGTATCTCAATCTCTAAATTGAACTTTAATCACATACAGGAGGCTCTTGCAGGGTCTAGCAAGCTATTAATATAGCAGGGGATAAGAAAATCTTAATTAAACATAACTTGCAATAAAGAAAGCCTTAATAGGGCTCTCTTTACAGGAAGTGTCTATGGATGGCTGCGCAAGTCACATGCAGGGAGGTGTGACTAGGGTTCATAAACAAAGGGCTTTAATTCCTAAATGGCAGAGGATTGAGCAGTGAGGCTGCAGGGGCATGTTCTATACACCAAAACTGCTTCATTAAGCTAAAGTTGTTCATGTGATTATAGTGTCCCTTTAAATACCCCCATCACAGTTCAAGAAGTTGAGGAGGTAATAGGCAATTTAAAATCAGATAAGACCCCAGGTCCAGATGGTTTTTCAAATTTATTTTATAAATCTTTCAAAAATCGTATAGCCTTGCACCTAACTAACATGTTTAATGAAGTAGTGTCAGTGGGTAAATTTCCCACCGAAATGCTGAGAGCAAATATCCTCCCAATCCTTTAGCCAAATAAAGACCCCTTAAAGGTGGAAAATTATAGACCCATTTTGTTAATCAACACAGATGTTAAGATCTTTTCATCAGTTTTGGCCCACAGATTAAAAGGAGTCATGGTTAACATCATAAAAAATTATCAAATTGGGTTTGTACAGGGGAGGAATTTGGTAGATAACTCCAGAAGACTGTTAGATTTAATAGACGCTGCTTGAAGAAATAAAAAGCCTTTATTTCGATTGGCAGTTGATGCTGAGAAGGCTTTCGACAGGGTCGGTTGTTTTTTTTTAAGGAAAACCTTGAAAAAATTCAGGATATGGGGATGGATGCTTAATGCAATTCTTGCGTTATATGCGGGTCCAACGGCAAGAACTGTGGCTCCAAAAATATGCGCATAATGGTTTACATTAAATAATGAAATGCGGCAAGGCTGTCCTTTGTCGCCTACTCTGTATATTATGACAATCTAGATCCTCGCTATTAATATTAGAAATAATTCCTGAATAATAGGTTTTAGGTATAGAGATAAAGAATTCAAACTTAACTTATATGCGGATGATTTAATTATGACCCTAACCGACCCTGTCGAATCTTTGGTTGCCCTGATGGAAGAAGTAAACAAATACAGTTCAATCTCAAATTACAAAATGAATGTAACTAAATCAACTTTCTTAGCTATCAACATCTCAAGGGAATGCAGACTCCATATAAAGGAACACTATAACTTTAATTGGGATAAAAATCAATTGTCATATCTGGGAATAATACTTACTGATGATTTAAATGATACGATGCAAACAAACTTTTAAAAAACATTTAGATTAACCCACGAGTCTTTAAAAAAATGGAGACAGGTCGAATTATCCTGGTGGGGAAGAATTAACGATTCATTTGTATTTACTCCCCAAATGGTATTATTTTTTTCGCATGATCCTTTTAAGAATGCCCCAACCATGGTTAGCTATGATACAACGAGATACAAATAATTTCATATGGAAAGGAAAAAGGCCAAGAATGAATAAAAAACTTCTGATGCAGAAGAGTAGGAATGGAGGTATAAATTTTCCAAATGTGAACCTTACCTATTTAGCTAATATGATGCTCCATATCTATAAGACGCAACTCATAACTTCTGAGGAAGAGGGCTGGTATCAACTAGAAAGGGAGATGTCAGAAATGGATAAATTGCATCAACTGATATTGATAACTAATCGAGACGAGAGAATTAAGTCTGTTCTTTAAATAATTGTTTGAAATCAATCTTGTTGGAATGGGAAAGGTTGAGGATTAGCAGCGGAATAGGTAACAAAATACTGGGAAACTTTAGTTTTAGTGTCATACAAGTAAGGATGAAGGATATAAATACAAATGAGTGGTCCAGGAAAGGTATAAATCATATTAATCAAATTATACTAGGAGACAAGATTAAGTAGTTTGAGAGGCTGATACAAGAATTTTTGTTGCCCAGAAAGGAGTGGTATAATTACTTAAGGATTAGAGGTTTCATCAAACAATTTTTGTTAGCTCGACCTATAGAGGGTTTAGAAAACCTGACCGCTTTATTAAATAATGAGAAAGTATCTCAAATAGCCTCAAGAGCAAGAAGCGCTCTTCTTCAGATTGAAGCACCAACTACGAATATAAACATGCAGAAGTGGGGTAAAGAGCTAAATATACAGATTTTTAAGACTGAATGAGATCAAGTGTTAATGCAAACTAGTAAAGCTATTCATTGTTTGAGTATTCTGGAGGTATTATTTAAATTGATGAATCGCTGGTATTTAGTTCCCACCAGATTGACTAAAATGTATACCTCCATTTTTCCAACGTGTTGGAGATGTAATGAGACGGAAGGGACTTTTGGCCATATCTGGTGGGAATGTAGTAAGGTGAAAAGGTTGTGGTACATTGCTTTTGAGGCACTGGAATACATAACAGAGAGAAGTATTCCTAGGGGTCCCCATAATGGTTTGTTCCATCCAGGGCCAGATTAAGAGCCCAGTGGGCCTGGTGCAGACAATTATGATGGGCCTAATTACAAAATCTTATTGACCAAAAACACTAAAACAGTCCTACCTCCTAAGCGTCATGTATCTGATGGAGATGGTGCTGGAGGGAAACTCATAGGATGCAGGTATGAGAAAACACATACCCTATGCTAATCTCACACTTTCATCTTTCAAGTAAACCCATACCCCCTAACAGCAGTGTCCAGTGAAGCAGGAAGTCTAAGGATGGGGTAAAAGGGTGGGCCACTGACACAAATCCCATAACCAGAACTGCCAAAAGGGGCGAACATACACAAAAAGGAGGCACCCAGTGTCCCCATTTCTCCATGTCTCCCAGTGTCCCCAAGAGTCTGTGTCCCCATGTCTCCCAGTCCCTTAGTGTCTGGGACCCCATGTCACAAGGACACTAGGGGACATTGGGACACTTGGAGACATGGGGACACTGAGATACTAGGGAACACTGGGAGACCTGGGGACACTGAGATTCTTGGGGACACTGGGAGACATGGAGAAATGGGGACACTGGGTGACTTTGAGACACGAGGGGACACTGGGAGACATGGGGCACTGAGACACTGTGATGCACAGGGGACACTGTGATATAAAGGGGACACTGGAGACTTGATAAAGACCTGGGTACAGGTCAAAACGTTGCGGTGTTCAATAAACCTGCTTAAATCTATCACAGTGAGTGCCTGAGATTTTTTTCTTTTATACTAGGGGACACAGACACTTGGTGGCACTGTGAGACATAGGGACACTGAGACACTTGGGGGCACTGTGAGACATGGGGAGACTAGGGGACACTGAGACACTAAGGACACTGAGATACTATGGACATTGAGAGACACCAGGGACACTGTGAGACATGGTGCATTGAGACACTGTGATACATAGGGGACACTGGAGAATTGATAAAGACCTGGGTACAGGTCGAAATGTTGCGGTGTCCAATAAACCTGATTAAATCTATCACAGTGCATGCCTGAGATTTTTTCTTTTATACTAGGGGACACTGAGACACTAGGAGACCTGGGGACATTGGGACACTGAGACACTGGGAGACTAGGGGACTTTGGGAGACTAGGAAATACTGAGACACTAGGGACACTGGCACACTACAGACATTAAGAGACACCAGGGACACTGAGACACTGGCTGGGAGACATGGGGACACTGAAAGATTAGGGGCCACTGGGAGACATGGGGACACAGACACAAGGGACACTGGCTGGGAGACATGGGGACACTGAGACACTAGGGACACTGGCTGGGAGACATGGGGACACTGAGACACTAGGGACACTGGCTGGGAGACATGGGGACACTTGGAGACATGGGACCACTGTGTCCCTAGTGTCTCAGGGTCCCCATGTTCCCCAGTATTCCTATGTCTCCCAGTGTCCCAATGTCTCAGCATCCCCAAGTCTCTCACCGTCCCCATGTCTTGCAGGCTCGGAGCTGCTGTCTGGACTCTCTGTGCAGAGCTGTTCCCCCGGGGATCAGTGAGTAGAGAGAGGCAGGAAGGGAGATGCTGTAACTTCTTATCCCTGCCTCTCTCCACACAAACAGCGACCCCTACTGGCCGGCGCTGGTATTGCAGAATAATCTCTGTTTATACTGAGACAGACATTTGTATTGCCAGTATTACTGCAATACTGGCTAGGCAACCTCAAATACCTGAGAAATACTTCTGAGAAATAGCTGGCAACCATAAGAAATACATGAGAAATACCTGGCAACTCTAAGAGTAGTGTGTGTAAAAAAAAAAAAATGTTTTTTTTTTTTTTTTTAAATCAATGGGCCTATTCCATGGGCCTGGGCCTGGGCCTGGAGCTGCAGCTCCATCAGCCCCTATGTTAATCCGACCCTGGTTCCATCTATATCTACAATCACTTCATTTTAGAGATAGATTTATATATGTCCACTTTGTGGCAGCAGTAAAAATAATAATTGCTAGGAGATGGAAGAGCAGTGAGAATTTTACACAGGCCCAACTGTACTCACAAGTTTAATATCAATTAACTATGGAGGCCTTAGGATACCAGACAAATAAAATTAGAGATATTAGTAATTTTTGGAGAAATAGAATGGAGAATTCAGATACACAAACCCCGGGACAGAGTGTTTAGATTATTTTTCTTGGTTTATTATATTAAGAAGTAATATAATAGAGGGTCCACTGTAATCTCCTAAGGATATTTTGCAACGCAATGTGGGTTATGTCTATGTAATGTGAGTTATGTCTAATGTAGTAGTTAAGGTATATGATGTCAAGTTAGCCAATATCGAAGTGTTTCATGTGCAAGTAAGAAAAAGGGGTTGTCTACACAGAATTGTGAATATTGCACCTGGATTTAAAAGAGAGGGGTTAAGTAAAGTTTAAGCCTGCTTGGCAAATGACGTTATTACGTTATATAGGATAAATCTTTGTGATAACATTTCTGTTTAAAAGTGAAATGAGTTGGAATATTTATTATTGAGAATACTGTGATACATTATCTATATATGTTATGCATTATGAAGAAAATTGTGATTTTCACTGTAGACGGAAATTGTTTTTTATATGTGTCGAATTAAAACAAAATTAATTATTATAAAAAAAAGAAAGCAAGCAGCTTGAATAATATGCCACTTAAAGAAAATGAAAAGACAAAAAGAAAAGAAATACAAGGCATATCAAATTTAGAAGTAGAGAGGATAGTTTAAGCAGACTATAGACTTACTGAGCCAGTCTAGCTGTATAACAGGCGTACAAGAGCTGTGGTCTAGCACTAGGTTGAAGGTTCTGTCACCCCTGATGGAGTAGGTCCTGGGAATAAAAGATATAATAGAGGCGATATTCTGACAGTAGGAAGAAGTGCAGGAGGGTAGGTGGTTCTGGTGCTCACATGATTGGTAGGTATTGCAATTATTTTCTGCCCACAGCCGTTGTGGGCCCAACCTATAGTATTTATATATATTGTTATCATGTAGCTAATTTATTGAGAGATTGACACCACAGAGCTGTCTGCCTGGAGAGGTCCCTTTGGATTTAGAAGATTAGTTGCAAATTTTCAAAGGACCAAGAAGGAGAACCTCTTGTGGCTCCTACAAGCAGAGCACTCTCTGAGTCCTTCAGACATTTAGCAAAAAAGTCCCTGGGAGCTTCTGAAGGGACCTTTGTAGCCTTGTGTAGCTGGATTTAAAGGACCACTATAGTGCCAGGAAAACATACTCGTTTTCCTGGCACTATAGTGCCCTGAGGGTTCACCCACCTTCAGGGACCCCCTCCCGCCGGGCTGGATGGCGAGGAAAGGGGTTAAACTTACCTTTTTTTCGGCGCTGGGTGGGGAGCTCTCCTCCTTCTCTCCGCCTCCGATCCTCCTCTTCCAGTCTCATAGGAAAGCATTCATAATGCTTTCCTATGGACGCTGGCGTCTTCTCACTGTGATTTTCACAGTGAGAAGCACGCAAATGCGTCTAGCGGCTGTCAATGAGACAGCCACTAGAGGCTTTAGAGGCTGGATTAACCCATTTATAAACATAGCAGTTTCTCTGAAACTGCTATGTTTATAAAAAAAAAGGGTTAACCCTAGCTGGACCTGGCACCCAGACCACTTCATTAAGCTGAAGTGGTCTGTGTGCCTAGAGTGGTCCTTTAACACTCAATGAAAAACTGCTTAGTTGTCTACTAGACAGCCACTAGATGGGACATCGGCGCTGAATACAGGTAAGTCACTGAATGGGGTCCCTTTAAGTGCAGAATCTGTAGCAGTTACTGTTAACATAGTGCTCCTTACATTTCATTCAACAGCAGCCATGCGTCCCGTCACTGGGGCTACCTTCTCCCTGACCACTGCCATGTCAGATTAAAACATTGTGTGTATTTCATGCAGTAAGCCAGAATCTCTCTGAATAATAGTGAGCCAACTATAGTCTGTAATGGATACAGCCGGTGCGTTTTAGATTTCTTCCCTTTTTTCTGCCAGTGGTAACAGAGAGGGTTAGAGGCTAATTTATGATCTGGGACAGGGATAAAAATCACTATGAAGGAGTGAAAGACACAAAGTTTTGTCCTCCCCCCTGCCCCCCCTCCATAATACCTTTTTTATTGTAATTTAGATGGTATTTGTATTTTTTTTTTTTTTGTCAATCTCTTTTTTTTTTAATTGAAATACGAACAATGGTCACATGATGACAATATCATATCGCATATAATGTACAACATCAGGGTGTAACATTGGTTTTACATAGCCAGACTTTTGTTTTCAACTCGTGTGTATATCACAGTTACAATAGATGTAACAGAAAAAGGTGATGCGTTTTGGGTCTAGGTAGCAAGACATATATGTAATACTGCTTTTGCCTAAGCCATGGGCCTTTGTTGTCCCTTTCCTCCGACTACCTACGATGCCAGCTCCTGGGCTTCAGCCCGAGTTTGACCCTAGTCATCAAGTGTCAGGTATACCTAACATTCATGCTGCCGCCGGAACCCACTTCCAGGTTCACGGCGCTTAGCTCCGCCCCTTTTTTCTGACGCGGTCTTTCCACAATACTTAGGAACACCGCGCCAGATTCAAAGTGCTGGATTATTCACTCAGGTGCGGCAGTGAGATCAGCTGCTCTACTCGATGCTACCGGCTCCACTTCTCAGACCTCGGCTTGTAAACGGATTTCTACCTTCTCATCTCTCAGACCTCGGCTTATAAACGGAATTCTACCTTCTCCTCTCCCAGACCTCGGCTTGTAAACGGATTTCTACCTTCTCAACTCTCAGACCTCGGCTTATAAACGGAATTCTACCTTCTCCTCTCCCAGACCTCGGCTTGTAAACGGATTTCTACCTTCTCCTCTCTCAGACCTCGGCTTGGATAAACGGACTTCCTTTCTCTCACTACTAATCTGCAGTTTGTTAAAAGAGACTCCATCCTCTTCCTCCATTGGGTGAATTAACCCTTCCAGTGCCAGAATGCTTCTAAGTTAAGTAAATCTTTTGTCAAGGAAAGCAAGTCATATCAATTAATTATAGTATTTAATTTCTTTAAACTCTCTGTTGACAAATAAGGATTGCTGCTAAGGCTAAAACTTCATTATTAAAATTCAAGTTGGAACTAACTTGGCATTTTCCTGATTATTATTTAAAGATACAGTCCACTGATTTCACTCCAATATAATAGGAGATGAAACTTACTGTTCCTGCCCTCATAATATTCTGCAGTTGAGTTCCAATTAAAGAGGTACTACACAAAAGCATCACATCAAGAAACGCTTCTTGCTGATTCAAGCCTATGCTAGTCTCGGGGCGGTCAGTCTCAGGGTATGGTTTTTCTGTCTCGCTTGGTCTTGCGTCGGGTCCTGTTGTGTAGTTAGATAGTGGTGGCCGGTAGAGAGTCAACGATCACTAGGATCTCAGAGCTGGCTATGCCCCCCGTTGTGAGTCTGATCGCCCGTTCCCCCTAGTTTTTGGTGTCCGTGTGTTATCTCATAGATTGTTATGTCTGAGTCATGCGCTATTTTGACTGTTTGGGTTTCAAGTTTATATCGAAGTGCGTAAGTGCGGCCTACCTCGGGTTTATTTCGATATGGCTGTCAGAGGGCGAGAGGTCAGGTCCATGAGTTTGATGCCTTCAAGTATAAGGGTGTTATGAGGTGCAAGCGGCAAGGGTAGTAGGGCAAAGGGTAAGAGAAAGATGGGGTGAGGGAAGGGGAGAGGAGGGGAGAGGAGGGGAGAGTAGGGGAGAAAAAAATAATTTGTCTGCCATAAGGGGGCGCGGCGTCCCCCCCCCACCCCTCCAAGGTGTCTGGCCGAGCACGCCCACGTTACAAAGAGGCGCATTCGTGATCTTAGCATCCCTTGTCTCCCTGTTTTCTGGGTTGCGGTTTGTTTAGATTTTGTTCAGGTTTCCCGAAATGTATCGCTCCGTGGTTCCATGCAGAGAGGCCGTTAGTTGCTCCATTCCATGTATTTCTTCGACCTTGTCCATCCAGTTTTGGAGGGTGGGTATTTGCGTGGTTCACCACCTCCCTGGGATAAGCATTTTGGCTGCATTCAGTAAATGCTTATTTAGCGATTTTTTTTGTATTTCGAGAGGGGTAGCGAGGTGTGGTGAAGAAGCATCTGGAGTGGTTGAAGCGGGATATCTGTGTCTGTGATGTTTTTGATCTGTGAATGTATTTGTTGCCAGTATGGGGCTATGTTTCTGCAGGACCACCATATATGTACCCACCTCGGTTTCACAACGCCAGCAGGTCGCTGAGGCTTACAGTATCATCCTATGTATTCTCTCAGGCGTCCTGTACCAGTTGGTCAGCAGTTTAAAGTTGAGTTCCTGCTGTTTGGAACAAATTGAGCTTTGATGTGTTAGGATATGGATTTTCGTCCACTGGGGGTCCGTCAGTGTAACTCCCATGGCTTTTTCCCATCGCGTAGTGTATTTAAGGGGTTTGGGCTGCGACGAGGTCAGAAGCAGTGTGTAGAGGTACGAGATTCCTCTGCACAGGTGTTTGCGTTCCGTGCAAAGTTGTTCGAATTCTGTCAGGGGCCTGTGGAATAGGTGTCTCCTGAAGTGGGATTGATAGTAGGTTTTAGTTTGGAAGTATCGAAATCTATCTAGTCCCGAAGGTATCCGTTCTGGCATCAGGTCTTGTAGTTGCTTCAGCAAGTCCCCTGTGCACCACTGGTGCATGTACGTCCAGTCCGAGTCTCCGAAGGCCTTGATATCCTGTCGTGTAAGGCCGCCCGCTAGGTCTGGGTTATGTGTGATCGGCGTCAATGGTCCTGGGGTGGTGGTCAACGTTAGGTTGGTCCTTATGGAGTACCAGGTTTGTAGCGTCACTCCAATGAGCGTGTGGTTGCGTGAGCGTGCACCCGTCAAGGAGCCCCCGAGCCACACCACGGCCGGGATCGACCCATCCATTAGGTTCCGTTCCATGTGTATCCATTGTTTGCTAGTTTTGGGCACATGCCAGTCCACAACTCTATGGAGATGTGTTGCCCTGTAGTAATCCAATATTGGGTAGGCGGAGGTGTAGTTTTGCCAGTCTGAGTGCCTTTGATTTCCATATAAACCTGGTGATGGCTGTGTCCATTGTTCGGAAGAAGGTCTAAGGGATGTTGATTGGTATAGTCTGGAAAAGGTACAGGAGGTTCATTTTAATTGCGTTCATTCTCCCAAACCATGAGACGCATAGTCCTGCCCACCGTATCAGATCTGATCCCAGCTTGTGTATCATTGGTGTGAAGTTGTGTGTGTTCAGCTGGGCCAGGTCTGCCATCAGCCAGATTCCTAGGTATTTGAGCTTGGCATGGCACCACTTAAAGGCATATTGGGACCTGAGGTGGGTAGTCATCACTTCTCCCGTCGAGACGGGGAGCGCCTCCGATTTATCCGTATTCAAGTTCAAGTTATCCAACTATATGACCATATTCAGCGAAGGCCTTCAAGAGGTTTGGGAGGGAGACCAACGGTTCGCTAATGAAGAACAGCATGTCATCCGCATACGCGGCCACCTTATGTTCCTGTCCATGTAGGGTAAATCCCCCTATGCCCACATCCCGTCTGACCGCCCCCAGGAAAGGTTCCAGGGAGAGGGCAAACAGAAGGGGGGACAGCGGGCACCCCTGCCTCGTCCCGTTGCGTATATGTACCAGCTTAGAAAGAGCTCCATTGATCCGCATCCTAGCCGACGGGATCGTATACAGCAAGGAGATTCACGCCAGTAGATGTGGGCCAAAGCCCATTGCTCGGAGTGTAGCTAGCATGAATCACTAGTCCACTCGATCGAAGGCCTTCTCTGCGTCGGTGGAAAGGAGAAGGACATTCTGTGCAGAGCGCCTCACTGCGTGGATGACGTTTAGGGCTCGTATGGTGATGTCTCTTGCTTCCCGGCCAGGGATGAACCCCACTTGATTGGGATGAACTAAATCCGGTAGCACTCCCCCTATAGGTGTCGCTATGACTTTCGTGAAAAGCTTCAGGTCCGCGTTCAGGAGTGAGATTGGCCGGTAGCTTGCGCAGTTGGTTGGGTCTTTACCTTCCTTTGGGATGACTGCTATTGTTGCCGATAGAGCGTCTCTGGGGAGTGCCCCTCCATCTAGTAGGGTGTTGAGTCCGGTGAGTAATTTGGGCAGGAGCACATTTCTGAACTCTTTGATGTATCTTACCAGTAATCCATCTGGGCCCGGGGCCTTGTTTAGTTTGGAGCCCTTCAACGCACCTTGGAGTTCTTCTAATGTAATTTGAGCTTCCAATCCTTCTACCACGTCTTGGCTTAGGGTTTTCGTGACATGTTGTTGCAGGTAATTCCCTATTTGTATGTCTTTTCGGGTGTAGTCGTCCGCGTTGCCATCTGGGGGTAGGTTATACAAGTCATTATAGAAACCATGGAATGCGTCTGTGATCTTGTCAGGGAGCTGTGTGGCTACCTGGTCCCTGTTTTTAATTTTAGTGATTTGGCACAGTCGGCGTTGCTTTTGGAGCGTCCGGACCAGAAGGCGGCCACATTTGCCCGAGTATTCATAGAAAAAACGGTGGGATTTACGAATAGTATGTTGTAGTTTGCGGTGTAGAATGTCTCTCAGCGCTTGTCTGGCTTCTAGTAGGGCTTTGTAGTCGTCATCTGACTCGGTGGACTTATGTGTGTTTTCTAGTACCGAGATCCGTGCAGTCAGTTCACTCGTTGTCGCTGTGCCTTCTGCCGCTGGGTACATATTTTAATCAGTTGTCCTCGGATAACGCATTTATGTGTTTCCCATATTGTCAGGGCTGGCATATCCGGGGATTCATTCTCCTCAAAGAAAGTGGTTAGTGTCGATTGGAGTTCCATAGTTACTGGTGCGTCGTTGTGTATGGACTCATTCATCCGCCATTGGCGGTCTCTCGGCCGATACAAGGGGGATCTAAGTTTTGCTCACACTGGGGAGTGGTCGGAACTGCCCATGGGCCGTATCTATGCCGAGAGGAGCATAGGTAGGATTTCCTGGGCCACCAATATATAGTCCAGCCTGCTATATGATTTGTGTAACGTGGAGTAATAGGTGAAGTCCTTATCCCCTAGATGGAGCACCCTCCAGCCGTCCATGAGACCAGAGCTTCGTAACGCCTCACGTATTGTTCGAAGGCCCTGAGGCGGAAAGGAGCTAGTCCCCTTGGAGGTTCTAGGGCAACATTTAGGTCACCTGCCACTATGAGGAAGCCTTCCCAGAATACCTCAAGTTTATGTAGCGTCTTTCTAATGAATCTAGTTTGCAGAGTGTTAGGCGCATAGATGCTAGCGAAGGTATAAGAACAGCCGGCTATAGTGCCTTTAGCAAAAGCGCCCCATGGGGTCCGCCTTAGTATCCGCGCACTCAAATGGTATCGTGTTTGTGAACAGGATCGCCACTCCTGCCTTTTTGGCCGTCTGGTGATTTGCGAAAAACCCCATTGGGTAGCGTGTATCCCTCAGCTGTGGGCCTTCCTTGCCGCGGAAGTGGGTTTCCTGTAGGAATGCCACTGGCACCTGCTCTGTCCATAAGGAGCGCAACAGGTGGGATCTTCGCTCGGGCATGTTCAGGCCCCGGACGTTACTCGACCAGACATTGAAGGGCGCGGGCGCGAACCCCGTCCCCATGGTTCGTGATATGGGTGGTGGGGATGGGAGGGAGGTGGGAAGAGAGGGCAAGGGTAGGAAGAAAAGAGTGTATCAAACCCGGCGTAGGTTCGAGGTGACTTGGCGCCTGTGGTGTCTAGGGGAAACTTGACCCTTGGAGCACAAGCGCAGGACTCAGCCTGTGTCCATGACTTGTTTTGGGGTGTATTCCCCAGGTGTATTTACAGTGAATTAGTAAAGGCAAGGTAACTATAACAGGAAATACGAACCCCTGTCTGATGGGGTTGGGTAATTAACAAACTTGTAGTGTTGCGACCTGTGTCCCTCCCCCCCTGGCCTTGAGTGCACAGGCACTACGGGTGGCATAAGGTTACCGGTGGATTATATTTGGTCCGTCTTGTTAGCATTAGTCGTATGCCTGTCAGTACGGGGGGGCCCCTGCCCAGCCCATCGAATCCCAGAACCTCGGGGGAGCGGTCCCGTGTTGGGGTGTAGGTGGGGGAAAGCTCGTCCTGTCGCCTGCCATTTCCCAGTTAAGCTTAACCGTCTGTGTTTACTTCGTTCTGTATCTCACGATCTATTGCGTCTAGTTTTGGGGGTCTAGCAGGCCTATCGCATCGCCTGCAGGGAAGAGGTCTTGGGTTACCGCTGTTGGACACCCGCATGGGGTGGTGGTTTAGATCCCTACTTAGTCTCCGTTCCCATTACCCTCTGGGGGCCTATTTATTATTTTGCATCTACACTATGCTACCTATTCCTTACTCTCCTGACAGATTGGAGCAAGATCCCCCGAGTGTATATTCTCTGGTCTCATGGGAGGGCTATAGACTTCATCCCTACCATCTCTCGGAGACAATAATAACCATAGATCCCAGCCTCCCCCCTCCCTCAACCTCGGATTTCCTCCGTCCCCCTCTAGCAGTGAGAGTACAGTGTTCACAGTCCCGGTAGGGGTGGCGAGGGTGTATGTCTCTGTGCCCCTCTCCGCCATCCGGCGTTATGAAGTCAGCAGGGTTGTCCAGAGACTCTAGGGCAGGCCTTGTTAGATGCTTCCCAATTACAAAGTGAAGGCTCAGAGTAATCTTGTGTAGCCTGCTTTTGCGCCATTTTGCAAGACATCTGGGCTTGGGGAGTCTCAGCTGCGGGTCATATGTCCGTTCCCCTGCCCTTCAGAGTAGGCTTGTCCCACGAACCCCCAAGTCCAAGTCCCCTTCTGTGTCACCGTGAACATTCACTGCTGTGCCTTGTCGTGGTAGACGGTGTCGGCCTGTACCCTAGGCTATGACCCTCCTGGAGGAGTCTTTGCATATTTTCATATTGTCTTTCCTTTTTTCCCCTCTCCCCTCTCCCTCTTTTGTGGGGGGCGTCCCTCTCTCTCCTAGCAAGCCCTGTGTTGTGGCCTAGTTTAGGGTCCCCCATTTAGCCCCTCCCCAAGTGTCCTGGTTGTTTCCCCTCTACCCCCGTAAGTCCCCATTCGCAGGTGGGCTTCTGTGTCCCCAAATGTGTGTGTAGGACTCACCGGATCATCGTCTACCTGTCCAGGCATCGACCAGGCTACTCCTCAGGGCCTTCCAGGCCTACTCTCCGGCGCGGCGGGTCATTTCGGTTAGGTGCAGCTTCTGGTAATCGCATAGGAGCCAGTGTGTCTCTCCTGGAGATGATGGCTTCGTCAAGGATCCAGTTTCTGATTCTGATCTGAGGCAGGCCGAGTGTCCTTTGGAGTCTCGGGATGTCTTCCGGCCAGTGGGCCATCAGCCAGGCATTGCCATGTTTCGCCTGGAGGCTAAAGGGGAAGCCCCAGCGGTAGGGGATCCTCTTGTCCCTGGGGGCTCCCGTCAATGGGCGCAGGGCTCTCCTGGCATCCAGCGTTAAAGGACCACTATAGTGCCAGGAAAACATACTCATACCGCCCGGCTCTGGAAGGGGGAAAGGTGTTTAAACTTACCTTTTTCCAGCGCTGGGCGGAGAGCTCTCCTCTTCCTCTCCGCCTCCATTACGCCCCGCCGGCTGAATGCGCACGCGCGGCAAGAGCTGCGCGCGCATTCAGCCGGTCTCATAGGAAATGCTTTTACAATGCTTTCCTATGGACGCTGGCGTGCTCTCACTGTGATTTTCACAGTGAGAAGCACGCAAGCGCCTCTAGTGGCTGTCAATGAGACAGCCACTAGAGGATTAGGGGGAAGGCTTAACCCATTCATAATTATAGCAGTTTCTCTGAAACTGCTATAATTATGAAAAAATGGGTTAACCCTAGAAGGACCTGGCACCCAGACCACTTCATTAAGCTGAAGTGGTCTGGGTGCCTAGAGTGGTCCTTTAAGCTGGATAGGTCTTGGTAAAGTGAGACCTCCGCATCGCGGTATCTGATGGTGGGGAGCTCCCTCGCGGCAGCCATTATCTTATCTCGCAGCCCACATGTGGATATGCAGCAAATCACATCCCTGGGGCTGCCGTCCTGCCTTACCGGTCCCAGGTCTCTGTGCGCTCGTTCAAGCTGTATCATTTCAGGGGCTTGTACCCCAAGGAGCTGCCGGAATAGGTCAGTTAGCGTGGCTTGGAGCGGCTCTGTACCTGTCTCTGGTAGGCCGCGGATTCGTATATTGTTGCGCCTGCTCCTGTTTTCCAGGTCTTCCGCTTGTCTGCGTAAGGTGAGGAGCATGTTACCCTGTCTGGTAACAGCCACCTCTGTCGCCCTGTGCTACTCCTCACAGCCGTGAGCCGACGTCTCCATTTCATCCACTTGTTGTTCTAGCGTACTCAGATCTGCATGGAGGCCAGCAAGTTCTTCGCGTAGCGCCGCACGGAGTTTCTGGACCAGGGAACCTGTGTCCGCCTTGGATAGCATTTTAGTTCTGCCCGGATCCTTGCTAAGTCACTTGCCTGAGTGTCCTCTGCCAGAGATTCCCCTGCGCACTCCAAGCTCGGAGATGCGGGCGCCATCTTGGACGCATGCTGCGGTCCTCTGAAATCCGACGGCATGGCAATAAAATCATCCATCGGTCCCGTGCACCGGCGAGGGGAGCTAACCCCTGTTGACTCTAGAGCTAAGTGCTTCTTAGTCCGGACCATTAGTTCCCGGGTTGTCGCTGGTTTTTTTGCTGTTTTTCGGCCAGGGGGTGCGGAGCTCGTTCACTGTACGTCCTGCACCATGCTCGTCCAGGCCACACCCCGGTATTTGTATTTCTAATACAAAGTAATACAGTGCACTACAATTGCATTACAGAGCCATTTTATAGAAACATTTGGAACAATGGTCTTGACTTACTAAGTTTTCCAAATTATTCCATTCTGTTAGAAAGACTTTCCAAATGATGTATCTAGAAAATTCCCATAGACTTTAATGAAGATAAATCATGTAGATAAATCATTTGGAAAGTTTTTCTAACAGTATTCAATCATTTGAAAAACGTATTAAATCAAGGCCAATGTTCGCATTAAACTGTGGTTTGAGTATAAATACTGTATATTAGTAACGTCGAAATATACATCCAATGCCAAGTAAGACTAGATATGCCCCTTTGTCACCCGTATAAAACATACTCTTTGTTTGTATTGTAGATGATAATGGGTGTTCAACAAGCTATGACTCAGATACTACTAGTGTAAAGATAAATTGTATTTATTCATTGTTTTTATTTATGTATTAATAAATACATTAAACAGTCCAGGAGAATAGCCTTTTTTTATTTGTAGTACCAAATGTTGAAGGACACAAACGCCGAGGACTTTCTTTCCAGCCAAACAATAAAGCTTTTATATTTATTTTTTCTACACATAGCTATCTTGTAATTAGTGATTTTTTGCTGCAGAATAGAAAAGAGTGATTTTTCAGGAAAAAGAGTGGAGAATTATATGTCTAAGAAGCCCTGCTGACATTACATTGATGACATTTGCTTGTAGATTGATTTGTCATCACTGCTCCTGTTCACATTAACGTCAGTGTGTCAATTTATATATTGCATATTGAAAAATAAGCACTGTACATGATTTCTCTAGGTAGCTCATAAACCTATAAAGGTAGTTACAATAGTATTCAATGATATATAATCTCTCCAATTCCAGAAACAAATCAAGTTACATTTTTTCTTTCAAAACCCAAAATGTATTATTGCAACATTATGTAATGCTAAACGAGTGGAACACAACTGCAGTACTTTAATTACTTCGATTATAATTTTATAATTTTATTGAATTGCAAACTTTGGTTACTGTAGCTTTAAACTCTTATGACAGGTTATTAGTTGCAGGAAGAAAATAAGTCACTGAAGTTTTGTATTAAGTCTACAATTCTAATTAAGGATAGTGCAGAGTTGCATGCAGAATTTAGAGTTGAATTAAATACAGCAGAAATAGTTTCCAAAGTTTGTATGCAGATTTAGTGTTGAATTAAATACAGCAGAAATAGTTTCCAAAGTTTGTATGCAGATTTAGTGTTGAATTAAATGCAGCAGAAATAGCTTCCAGAGTTTGTATGCAGATTTAGTATTAATTGCAGAGGAAATAGTTTCAAGAGTGTTTAACAATGGTTAGCTTATAATTGCAACTGAGAAGTACTTAGCTTAATAGTAGTAGTTCCAGAGAACTGGGGAGATCAATTTAAGCAGTCTTTTAGGAGAGAGAGTAGAAGTCCATTAAACAGTCCGGGTCGAGGAGTGGAGAAGGCGGGTAGTCGTTCACAGAGCGGGTTCGGTACACGGAAAAGCTTATAATGTAATCGGGTAGCCGGTCAGAGATACACAGCAAACTTGTTCAATAATCCAGCGCTTTGAATCTGGCGCGGTCTTCCTATGTAGCGTGGGAAGACCGCGTCAGAGAAGGGGCGGGGCAAAGCGCCGTCAACCCGGAAGTGGCTTAATTCGGCGAAACCCGGCAGGTCTAACCTGACACATTATATCCTCCCAACATCAGCACAGAAGATGTTCTGATTAAAATGAATTTAAAAATATATTTTTATTTTTAAATTTTTTTCTATTTCATTAAACATTGTATGAATCTGTTTTATAATTTCTTTCATCAAAGAAGTATGTTCTTTTTGACAACTGAAATGGGAAAAGTAAAAGAAGATCAAAGCTAATCGTTTAAAGAGTCAATATGCGCAGGGTTTTTGCAGTGAACCCGTCTGCTGCCAGAGGTGTAATTGCTAAATCATTAGCTAGCCTGCAACCAGATTCCTGAATGGCTAATGTGAAACCTGTACAATTTCGGCATCTGATGCCACCACAAACAATGTGCTGAAATTTGACGGTCAGTGGTAGCACAGTCCTCTTTTCCATGCCACCCATGTCCTCCGTTCAGCCCACCCTCCCTGACTCCCACCCTACCCCCTTCCAGCATGGGAGAGTGACATCAGCCATGGATGATTGGGCTGCAGGAGGAACTTGGCCTCGGTGTTGGCTCAAGGTGAGTTTTAGATGTAATTTTATTTTTTTGGATGGCAGGGGGAGTAGACCAGTATAGCAAAGGTTACTCTAACCAAAACCAGTGTTTTATGAAAATCCTATATATAAATCATTTTGTTGAAACACATTGTAAAGTTTATTTATCACCAGTTATACCATAACCACCACAGTGTACCCTAAGCCCCTCCCCCCTATAAATTTTACAGCAGTGTGATTGTACCTGTGGTCCTCCAGGGACCACTTCATCTCTTCAACGCAGCCTCTAAATTAGCTGAAAGGTCTCTGTTTGAGTTTGGCAGTGAAGGACTTAGTTTACTGGCTGAATGTGATCAGCTGACACTCTCTGCCAATGAGCTGGCCTTGCTCTTCAGGGCTTAGCTCAGGAGAGCTAAGGGAAGCTTTAAAGCTGGAACTTAATACTCTTTTGGTAGCTGGGAATAGTTAGAGAGCATTCTTAAATGGTTTGATTTAGAATGAACTTGCACTATAACCACTACAGTGCACCACTATAGTTATAACACTGTAGTTTGTAGTATTCAGGTAAGCACTGGGATAACCCACTGGACAATTAGGGATTGGTATTAAACATAGCAGCCAGTTAAATGGGAGAAATATGCAACATCCAAACAGTGCAAAAAAAATAAAAAGTTAAAACAAAATACCTTTCTTGCTTCATATTAAAAAGCCTGACAAGGACTGTACAACAGGGGTAAGGCACAACCACGATGATGCTTATGTGTTTCGTGCCTCAAGTATACTACATCAGAGACAATGAAAGAGGTGTAACATATATATATATATATATATATATATATATATATATATATAAACTATAATTAAAGTAATCCAACCTGAGATTAATTTAACATGGCATTCGCCTCATTCTGTTATCACACAGTAGAGACTTCTCACATAATGCTCTGTACTGTGTGAACTGGGAAATCCATCTTTTGGACATCACACATAGCAGAAGGAATCCCTCTGAGTTAGGGTTAACATTAGCATTAAGGTATCTCTATAGTGTAAAGGTAATGGCGGGTTAGAGTTCATGCTGGTTTAGGGTTAAAGTTAGGAACAGTGTATGGTTAATATAAGTATAAGGTTAGTGTAGAGTCATAGGCGTGCGCAGCCTTTTGTATAAGGGTGTGCACCCTAAAGCACAAACACACATGCTGAGTGTGTGTATATATATAAATATATATATACACACACATATACTGCTGTGTGTGTGGGGGGGGGCACTGTGTGTGGGGGGGGGCACTGTGTGTGTGTGATGGCACTGTGTGTGTAAGGGCGCTGTGTGTGTAAGGGCGCTGTGTGTGTGTCAGGGACCAGGAACCAGACAGAGACAGAACTAGATGCAAACACACCTTTATTAATAAATAACAAATAAATAACAAAAGCAAAGTCCAGGAATCAAGCAGGGGTCAGTCACCAGAGCGGGTAGTCAGACAAGCCAGGATCAGGAGCACGGAGAGCAGCGGAGTCAGGAACAAGGCCGGAGTCAGGAACCAGGAGCAAACAGGAAACACAGGAACAAGGAGACTTCTGGGGAACAGGAAACCACGCAAGGGCAAGGAGGTTCTGGGATTTGCTGCTTAAATAGGCAGCACTGATTAGCAGCAGGGTTGATTACTACTCTCAGGTGAGTAACCGTGGCAACATGCAAAAGGAGCTGATAGTAATTGCAGCTGAAAACTCTTTCACTGACACAGAAAGGGTTGCTGTTTAAAACAGCAAAGAAACCCTGACAGTGTGTAAGGGTGCTGTGTGTAAGGACGCTGTATGTGTGTCTAACGGTGCTGTGTGTGTGAAGGCGCTGTGTGTGTGTGTAAGGTTGCTGTTAGTGTGTGTGTGTGTAAGGGTGCTGTGTGTGTGAGGGTGCTGTTAGTGTGTGTGTGTAAGGGTGCTGTTAGTGAGTATGTGTGAGGTTGCTGTGTGTGTAAGGGTGCTATGTGCGTGAGGGTGCTGTTAGTGTGTGTGTGTAAGGGTGCTATGTGTGTGAGGGTGCTGTGTGTGTATGTGTGAGGGTGCTGTGTGTGTAAGTGTGCTGTGTGTGTGAGGGTGCTGTTAGTGTGTGTGTGTGTAAGGGTTTGTGTGTTGTATGTGTGTAGATGTTGTGTGTGTAAGGGTGCTGTGTGTGAGGGTGAGGGTGCTGTTAGTGTGTGTGTGTAAGGGTTTGTGTGCTGTATGTGTGTAGATGCTGTGTGTGGGGGGTGCTGTATGTGGGTGCTGTATGATTGTGTGTATTATGTGGGGGCCGTTTAGTAATTATCCCCTTATGCCTGGGAGGGGGGATCCTTTCTGCTGCTTCCATCCCTGGTGGTCCAGTGGAGAGTGAACTCTAGCCTGCGGGGCTAGAGTTCACTCTCGCGAGATCTGAGTGTTGCCGCGGCAATGCTCAGAATCCCGCGAGAGGAACCTGGCGGAGCTGCCGGCAATAGCTCCCCGGGTCCTCTCCTGCCTCCCTCCCTGCCTGTGGGTGGGTGGGGAGGGAGGCTGAGAGCAGAACTGGTGCTCGGATAGCGCTGGCTCTGCATGAGATCTCCCCTGCTGGTCTCAATACATAGGCGTGCCGCAGGGATTAGGGTGTGCCCAGGCACACCCGGCACACCCCGTGCGCACGCCTATGTGTAGAGTTGATGTTAGTGTATTGTAAATGTTAAAGCTGGGTTAGAGCTGATTCTGCTTTAGCATTAGGGAAGTGTAGGGTTTAGGTTAGGGTTTTGTATGGTTATAGTTAGTGTAAGCATAGTGTTAGGGGTAGAGTTGGTTTAGGCTTAGGGTAGTGTAGGGTTAAGGTTAGGGTTGTGTATGGTTATAGTTAGTGTAAGCATAGTGTTAGGGGTAGAGTTGGTTTAGGGTTAGGGTAGTGTAGGGTTAAGGTTAGAATTGTGTATGGTTATAGTTGTGTAAGTGTTAGGGGTAGAGTTGGTTTAGGGTTGTGTATGGTTATAGTTGTGTAAGTGTTAGGGGTAGAGTTGGTTTGGGGTTAAGGTTAGGGTTGTGTATGGTTATAATTAGTGTAAGCATAGAGTTAGGGGTAGAGTTGGTTTAGGGTTAGGGTAGTGTAGGGTTAAAGTTAGGGTTGTGTATTTTATAGCTAGTGTAAGCATAGTGTTAAGGGTAGAGTTGGTTTAGGGTTAGGGTAGTGTAGGGTTAAGGTTAGAGTTGTGTATGGTTATAGTTAGTGTAAGCATAGTGTTAGGGGTAGAGTTGGTTTAGGGTTAGGGTAGTGTAGGGTTAAAGTTAGGGTTGTGTATTTTATAGCTAGTGTAAGCATAGTGTTAAGGGTAGAGTTGGTTTAGGGTTAGGGTAGTGTAGGGTTAAGGTTAGAGTTGTGTATGGTTATAGTTAGTGTAAGCATAGTGTTAGGGGTAGAGTTGGTTTTGTTTTTAGTGTTAGGATAGTGTAGGATTAAGGTTAGGGTTGTGTATGGTTATAGTTGTGTAAGTGTTAGGGGTAGAGTTGGTTTAGGGTAGTGTAGGGTTAAGGTTAGGGTTGTGTATGGTTATAGTCGTATAAGTGTTAGGGGTAAAGTTGCTTTAAGGTTAAGGTTAGGGTTGTGTATGGTTATATTTAGTATAAGCATAGTGTTAGAGGTAGAGTTGGTTTAGGGTTAGGGTAGTGTGGGGTAAAGGTTAGGGTTGTGTATGGTTATAGTTGTGTAAGTGTTAGGGGTAGAGTTGGTTTAGGGTTAGGGTAGTGTAGGGTTAGGGTTGTGTATGGTTATAATTAGTGTAAGCATAGTGTTAGGGGTAGAGTTGATAGTGTAGGGTTAGGGTAGAGTTGGTTAAGGGTTAGGGTAGTGTAGGGTTAAGGTTAGGGTTGTGTATGGTTATAGTTATAGCTAGTGTAAGCATAGTGTTAAGGGTAGAGTTGGTTTAGGGTTAGGGTAGAAAGCCATTTCTGTCCTTTAGGTGCACCCATATAAAATATGCATTATATTTTAAAAGAACCTTTTAAATTATGGAATAAACGCATAGCACACGTTCTAGGTTTTATTTTGGTCCAGCAGTTGATCAGTTGCCTTTGTTCTCCAGGGGTTAACCTCTACATGGCAGAGACTTCAGTATTGAGACTGCATCGGATCTATACACCAAAACCACATCATTGAGCTAAAGCTGGTTCGGTGCTCTTAGCATCGAAACCTATGTATTAATATTTTGGATGGAAATAGTTTCATTATTTCTGATTTAATTTGATGTTTTCATTTTAACATTTAGTTTAATTTCTTATATGATTTCACATGTGCCATTAGACAAAACTGTGTAGAAATGATCTGCTGTTTTAAGTTACAGTTTTCAAAGGAGCATTAGGCACAACTCATGTATTACAGAGAAGAGGGCTCTTTGAACTGGATGGAGCTATTAAATGTGAAGCTGGCCGAAGTTCTCTCATTTACATTGGCTATGGATGCTATTGTGGACTTGGAGGCCATGGAATGCCAAAGGACAACATAGACTGGTATGTAGCTTATATGCATATCGATAAAATAAATAAAGATGTATCTATAAGGGTTACTCATTAAAGTCAGAATTGACATGAAGTCAGCTATATTTCCATTTTTCCTACTTTTGCCTAAATTTGAAATTCACTTTAAATTCACTTTGCATTTCTGACAATTCTCAATTTAGTAAATAACCCGGGATATGTTTAAATTTAAAATGAAAATATAAAATACGATTGAAATTCATATTTTTTTGTGTTTCATTACAGCTATTTGAAAATATATCCTATATATTAGACACATATGATGCAATGTAATGAAATGTTTTAATTTTCTTGGTCTGAAGCACAAATTACCAAAGCACCATGATCTTTGATAAATTCTGGAGAGCTTACATTTAAAAGATCTGGAAGAGCCATCCATATAGAGCAAACATTAGCCAAAATATGTATTGAAAAGATGTATTTACATATATTATTTACCGATATGTATGCATGTAATATTTAACTTGTTAAATGATAAAAATTATGACAGTTTTCCTTTAATGTGATTTTAACTACCATTTCACTTATAGCAGGTTTGACTGGATACACTTGCTTGGGGATAAATGTTCTTTTCTCATTCCTTCTAGGTGCTACTAGTTGTTGATTGGGTAGATGTGACGATCTCTCTACGCTTATCGGGCTACTTTTTCTCTTATTTTTGTTTACCGATTAATTGACCACCTGCCCCATCTCTGTTTACGCCATGTACACCGACTGGGATCAAAATTTGACCAGTTTTGCATTTGTTCTTAAAGGGACACTATAGTCACCCAGACCACTACAGCTCAATAAAGTGGTCTGGGTGCCAGGTTTTAACCCTTCAGATGTAAACATAGCAGTTTCTGAGAAACTGCTATGTTTACATTGCAGGGTTAATCCCACCTCTAGTGGCTGTCTTTCTGACAGCCGCTAGAGGCACTTCCAGGATCCAACGTGCAGAACGTCCATTGGAAAGCATTGAGAAATGCTTTCCTATGGACTGTTTGAATGCGCGCGCTGCTCTTGCCGCGCATGCGCATTCTGCTCCACTCGGGCGCTGACGTCAGTGGGGGAGGAGAGGTCACTTGCGCCGAGGGAGCCCGGCGCTGGATTAAAGTAACTGAAGGGGTTTTATCCCCTTCAGCGCCAAGGGAGGGGGACCCTGAGGGTGGGGTGGTCCTAAGGATGATATTGTGTCAGGAGAACGAGTTTGTTTTCCTGACACTATAGTGATCCTTTAAAGGGACACTATAGTCACCAAAACAACTTTAGCTTAGAAAATCAGTTTTTGTGTATAGATCATGCCTCTGAAGTTACACTGCTTCATTCACTGCCATTTAAATCATTTTTGTTTCTGTTTATGCAGCCCTAGCCACAACTCCCCTAACTATGATTGACATAGCCAGCATAAAAACAAAATGTTTTCATTTTAAATCAGATGTAGCTTCCATTGAAAGTTTTTATCTCCTGCTCTGTAAATTGAGCTTTAATTACATACATGAGGCTCCTGCAGGGTCTAGCAAGATATTAACAGAGCAGGAAATAAAACATTCTAAATTAAACAGCATTTGCAATAAAGGAAGTGTAAACATTAGATGATGCTTTGGTGGAAGTGTTAAGGAAGGCTGTGGTAGTCACATGCAGGGAGGTGTGCCTGCTATGGTAGTCACATGCAGGGAGGTGTGCCTATGACTCAGTAAACAAATTGATTGAACTCCTAAAAGGCAGAGAATTGAGCTGCAGAGGCATGATCTATACACCAAAACTGCTTCATTAAAGTAAAGTAGTTTTAATGACTATAGTGTAGCTAAGTCTTATAGGCCATTAGGTTTTGGTGGGTTTTCCACCAAATGCTTTCCCACGGGGATCTTAGTTGACGCTGGACTCCGTGATGATGATTTACTAAGTGTGGAAGCGGCCTCTAGTGGCTGTCAAGGAGACAGCCACTAGGGGCTGGATTAACCCTGCAGTTTCTCTGAAACTGCTATGTTTTCAGCTGCAGGGTTAAAACTAGCTGGACCTGGCACCCAGACCACTTCATTCAGTTGAAGTGGTCTGGGTGCCTATAGTGGTCCTTTAACATATCTTTCAAAGCAGCTTTTCCAGCCTTGAGACCTGATACTGTGCAGAGCCTTTGTGGGGCTTTTATTTTTATTGTCTTTTTGTTGTTGTTGTAATTCAGTTTTTGTACTTCTAAATACGTCTAAAGGTAAATGTAATTTTATTCCCTTATCGGTATTACATTTATTGCCCACTCGTATTAAAGTGAGGGGGCTAGATTTTTTTTGGGGGGTGGGGGGTGAAGACTAGGGGCTTGATGATCTCTAGCCACTGGGTGTGATTGGCCATAATTTGGGGGGTGCAAACCACGCTCCCATCATGTTTAAAACCCCACCACAATCCCATGGATGGACAATAGCATGTTCATTTCCATTTATTAATAGACACCACCTACCACCCATGAGCTGGGGGCCGGAGCTACCCCCCTTTGGTTATTAAAAAGCCCCCACTAGCCACCCATGGGGAATGGGGGGCACAATTTTCCCGTTATCAAATTAATAGCACCCACCAGCTGCCCATGGGTGTAGGCTGGGGGTAACACTAGGTTCTCCCTATTAATAGGTAGCTCCTACCCCCTGACAGATTTCATATCAACCAAAGTAGAACAAGCTTGCAGCCCCCACCCAGTCCTTTGTCTATTTACTTAACTCCGTTTAGTAAATAACAAAATAACTATAACAGTAGAGTATTTCCTGTGTATTTGACTTGGGGAATCCCTACAAATCACTTGCTTCTGGCAGCTAGATATTTTTAGATTTAAAAAAGTTAGTGGTAACTTGCTGTTTCTCATTAATGGAACTGAAGGAACATTTCAAAATTCCCCATTCTTTATTAAATTTAAAGGGACAGGCCACCTCTAACATTATTTAGTGACACTGACTTGACAAAGGGCTACTTATTTGAATGCTGTCAGTATGTGTGAATAAGGCTGCATTTCTCTTACACCCCTCCATGTGTGTGTCTCTTCCTCTCCTATCTCCACTTGTTTTCATACCTCATCTCATGTGTCCCCCTCCCCACGTATCTCTCTGACCACCATCGTCCCCACTTATATCTCCTTTAGTTTTGTTTACAATGCCCTTTTCCCTTGTTTGTATCTCCAATCCCATTAAATGTATTTTAATTCCCTCACCTCTTTCTGTGTCTTTCACTCCCTTTGCTATATCGTTGTGTATCTTTCCTCCCAGCGTTGTATGGCAGCCAGGCAGGAGAGAAGAGGGATAGTGTATCACTGGACCTCGATGGTATCATAGGCCCCCATGAAAGCCACTTAACCCCAGAGAAGCTACTTTCCAGCATTAAAATAAATCACTGTGCATTCCACTCTGACCATCTCAGTTTCTGTCCTGATTACAGTGAGCACTATGGATTCCATTGAACAGCGCTACGGAATAAATAATAAAATAATAATATTAATATATCTTTTCTAGTTTAGTCCCACCTAATGAAGGTGTACTAATACCATTATTCCACAGACTGATATTGTTGATTCTCCGTAAGGACAAGTGCTAGAGCATACTTGAGTCTATTTGTTTAAATCAAAAATGTTTGTTGTTTTTTTTCTAAATGATGACTTGATTCTTAGACAGTCCCGATTTCAGGAATCCGTCTCACTTTCAGAACACAAGGGAATTGTCCCCAGGCAGCACAGAGCGAAAACATCATAATTGCAGTGAGCACTAGGGCCATGCCTGGAGCACTTCCGCAACTTCACTCCCCCGTCAGTGGGCAGGCTAAAGTAATTTTATGGGTGGACCTGCACATTATAGTAGTAGCTAGTGATGTGGGTCACTTCACTGGTGATGTTCCCCTCGTTTTTACTCCATTTCATTAAAGTGCCTTGTCATGAAATAAGCGCTATAATAAAACAAGGGTAAGAGGAACTGCCTAAACACCCCTAAAGCACTTCCGCAAGCATGTGCATTAGAGGTCTGGAGTATCTCTTTAAATAAAATGAGTGCTTTTTCACAGTCTGGTTCAGTGAATCAGTAGGAGGGTTAGAGGACACCGTATAATTTTAACGTTGATGGTTAAATCACTTTACATTTGTAATAGTGCTTTTAAAAAAAAATAAAAAATCCTAAAATTTAATTTTTTTTAATGAGAAAAAAAACAAAACAGGAAAATAACCTTTTTTTCAATGGCTTTAAAAATTCTGGAAATTGTACATTGCTAGTAGGAGATAAGAAATTCAAAATTTTCTAAATCTAAACTGTACAATAAAGGAAGGTTTTAAACAGCTCTCTTTACAGGAATATGTAGTGAGACGGTGTAAGTCACATATAGAGGAGGAGTGACTAGGGCTGCATAAACAAAGTGATTTAGCTCCTAAATAGGAGAGCATTGAGCAATTAGTTTCATGACAGGCGCACAGTCGGATTTGCCGGCATATGCGCTAACCTTACCCAAACCCCCATTAAAACACGGACACAGGTTATACTGTTGGAAATAATTAATCCACAGCTTTATTAAATTATTAATAAAATAATTAAGGAATAACAAATGGGGTCATTGCCAACAAATCTTATTAAAATGAACATCCCCCCATATACATAACATACCCCTAGCAATGACCCTACAATAATAACAATAGATAACAATCTAAATAACATGTTAATACAGAAACTGGTCGTCCAAAATGACCACATTTCCACCAGGTTAAATTGTAGGGGTGTACCGAGACACTGCTACCCACCATATCGATTGTAGGGGTGTACCAAGACACCACTACCCACCATATCCATTGTAGGGGTGTACCAAGACACCGCTACCCACCAGTTCCAGTGTAGGGTGTACCAAGACACCACCACACCCCCAGGTTCGGAGCCACCAACAGGTTCGAACCTACCAACCACGTGCAACACTGCCCAATCCACACTAAACTTTAGGATGCCAACTTTATCCTCCATCTACCCTCCGATTTAACCAGGCCATTCCCCGCCGCTGTGAAAAAACGGGAAATCAACTAACCTAACCAAATACAGGGAGGGTGGGAGGGACAACTGACTGGTAAGCTTAGGTTCAGTTAAAATGGACACTTCATATAATGGCGGGTATAAATACTCCCCTTATGGCTCCGCACTACCCAGCATGCTAGCTGTCACTAACTTCCTGTGGCTGCTATGCCTACCGCCTGGCTCTGTCAAGGCCTATTCATGATCCATGGGGTACATTCTTCAGTCATTTCAATAACTTCTTTCATCTCAAGTTGTAATGGTCTTTATTGCAGAAAAAACTAACAAAAATAACGACTAGCATTTACAACTATGTATCTGTGAGTGTATGTGTTTATATTTATAAGTGGGTGAATCTGAGGTTATGCTTTTGTGTCTGTGAGTCTGCATATGAATCTGCTGTTTAGTGTTTGTGAGTAAATCTGTAAATATATGAATTTGTGAGTGATCAGGACTAAAGCAAGGAACTGTCTGGATCCTCAGCATGATTTGCGCTGTGCTCTATCTATCAACATTAAGTCGAATCTGGACCTCACCTATAAAATGAAGGAAAATCACAGTAGCCACTAAGTATTGTTTGTCACCAGACACCAGGCGTCATGTTCAAAAAAAGTTTAGGAAACACTCTGTTAAATTATATTCGTGCTGGAACGGGGGGAGGCCCAGAGTGAAATTTTCTACACTGACACGTCCTAAAGACAAAGGGGGACTAGCCCTCCCAGACTTCCACCAGTACTACGTGGCCACACACCTACAGAGAATCATGGAGTGGTCTAAAGACGGAGTACACAAACTATGGAAGACGGTGGAAGAGACAGAAGCAGGCAGACCGATCTCGGGCCTTCCCTGGGGCCGAGACACAACAGATAGAGGTGACATGTCCATATACACGAGACACACCATGAGAGTTTGGAGGAGGGCCGCGAAGAAGGGGAATATGGCACCGTACCCCTCCCCCCTCCTACCCCTGACACACAACGAGGACTTCCCGCCAGGTATGGACCCAGGAGTCCTCAAACACATCCTCCCGGACAGATCCCCACACCTACACCACCTCCTCCAAGGAGGGAAATGTAAAACACTAACGGACTTGATGGGAGAGACGCCCCCGACCTTTATGCACCGCTTCCGACATGCCCAACTGACCAATTACGTCCACTCCCTGCCGCAGGGACCAGCACTGGCCAGAGACCAGACCACGATAAAAGTGGTCAGCTCACACCCAGACCCGCTCCCACACGGAGTGTCCTTCTTATATTCCATGCTCCAATCAGAAACCCCGTCCGAGACACCAATCTTCATGGGAAAATGGGAGACAGCCCTGGGTAACACGCTAACAGAAGCAGAATGGGAAACCATCTGCTCCCTTACACACCACTGTTCCACTCACAGCAAAACACAGGAAACGGCCTACAAGCTTCTAACACATTGGTATAGGACACCACATCTCCTTCACCACGTAAACCCAGACCACTCCAGACTCTGCTGGAGATGTGAACGAGAGGTAGGCACCACGAAACACATCTGGTGGGATTGGGCGTTGATCCAACCGTACTGGAAGAGGATACACAAAATGCTAGAGAAGTTCGCGGATGCGCCCCCCCCCCTGGAACCGGCAGCGATGCTCCTACACCGCACAACAGTTCCCCGCTCCAAATACAAAAAATCCATGACTATTAGAATACTTAACGTGGCCAAACAAGTGCTCCCCCAATTCTGGAAACAAACAGTTACACCCCCACTTTCGATCTGGTTTAGCCAAATGGAAGAACTAAGGTCGATAGAGGAACTGACCATGACGGCCAACACTACACCCACTACCTACATGAACATCTGGACGCACTGGATTCTAGAGACGGCAAAAGAAGAGTTCCAATTAGAACTCAGACCTAACACTAACGGACACCACGACACAGACAGATAACATTTAAAACACACACCCCAGACGACGCTAGACGGCCGACAGACGAACTGAACGGAACTACCCCCCCCCTTTTCTTTTCTTCCCACCCCGACGCATTCCCCCCCCCCCTTCGAAATACCCGAGCATCATCATTGACTGAATCATCCCCACCGCACCCATAGCAATAAGGGAAACCATAATCAGGAACGACTAACAAACACGAGCTGGTACACACGTCCAGACCAGTCCGGGACGTCACCCCAAAGCCAAAACACGCGAACACATGTGATAAACCTGGACAGGCCCGGCAATGGCACGGCTAATGCAGTATCCACACACCCAATATAAGAGTACCCCCTACATGCAATATCACCATACCCCTGGTTAAACACGGGAAATACTGATAGTAATAACGGGGGAAAACACAAGCCCACCATGGACAATGCCACATGGCTAAGGACACAGGGCCCTGTGAGACGCCCGTTGACAGAGACCATAGGGGAAGCCTACAAACACTGACACCTAATCAAGGACTGATTAATCCGGTTCAAGGACGGTTACATGGCATAATGTTCACCCAGTTTATGAAAACATTACTTAATTTATATTCCCAAACAAATGTAAATACCAGAAAATGGGGACCTGCGAGTCCTTCTACGATGGGGCCTGCGAGCATAACTTGTTACCTTTTATAATAACATACAATGGAGACCTGCGCGTCTCATCGAACATTAATATATGCAAAATGAATAAAAATCATATTCACAAAAAATTATATTCGTGCTCCCTCCACTCACACTGCACATTGTGCAATGTAACCTCCAATAATAGACTGGACACACAAACTTATTTACCAGCAATCTGGGATACTGCAAAGCTTAGACAGTAGTGTCGTTTGCATTAAATATGTTTTTTTAATATCATCAAACATATCTCAACATTCTAATTTTTAATTTCTGTTATATTAAGGTGCTGCCACAAACATGACTGCTGCTATGATGAGGCAGAAAAACTGGGTTGCAAGACCAAGATGGGAAGTTATAAATGGACTTGTAAAGATAATTCTGTACAATGTGGTAAGTCAATAATATCAGTCTATTCTAGTGCAGCCAAGTTTTGCTGTTTTTAAATCAGTTTTTTTAGTTGCAAATTAAATCAATTTTGCTTACTTACCTACTAACTGTGGAGAGGCTTATTGTTGTTTCATACAACTGTGTCATTCACATTCTGTATTCATGGCCATTCTTTACATTGCCAAAATAATTCATAGATCAAATGCATTCCTACCTGAAGTCAACCTTTACCACCCAAATTAGGTCTATATTAACTACAGAAATATTCTGAATACAACACTTACGCAAAAATTCTACAAATGCTGGGTTTTGCTTAATCGACTTTAATGAAGCTTTTGTATATCTGCTTATTTTCATATTGTATCACTACGGAACTATTATTATCTGACTGTGAATTGAAATGTTCTTGTGCTTATGTTACACATGTCGATACCTTGCCTTGTAATAAATAAAGAATTAAAAAAAAAAAGGAAATATTCTGAATAATGCTGTTTTAGATACATACATGCAAACATATAGCACAGTTTACATAAATAATTAAAAACGTGCCAAAGTTCAGTATGAATATTATAGACCTTTGAGGTTAAAGGGACGTGCATCACTTTGAGATAGCTGTCTCATTCAAAATAATTAGCTTTTAAGGAGACAGTTGCCTCACTCTGCAGGCTGAAAAGGCAGGTAAATGTGTTTGTTTGTTTTTTTCATATTTACCTGCTTCTTTCTTACGCTTTTCTTTCTTACTGCAAGGGGAAGTACTAATCTAACCAATCAGTGTCCTATCCCTAGGAATGCTGGAAGTGCATTGGGCATGCCTGACAGATTTACACATGTGCGGTTGGAAAATCTCTTCATCTTGCAACTTCCTGACAGGGGGAGAGAGGGTGTCCGATCAGTGTGATTTATGCAGACTTAGTTTCTGATTTCTTTCTCCTGCTGTTTGCATACCCTGGCAGAAATTGTGAAATTTTGGCATTGATTTTGAAAATATGACTGATCATGCTAAAAGTTTAGTTTCCACACGTGTGGCTTTTTAAATTGCAGTTAGTGTCTGTGTATAAATTGTCAATGTGTTTGTGAGCTCTCACGTGGATTCACTGAACAGGCTCATGGGGAGCAGAAAAGAACTGTCAAAAGACCTGTGTAAAAAAGTAATGGAACTTTATAAAGATGAAAAAGAGTATAAAAAAAAATATCCAAAGCCTTGAAAATGTCAGTCAGTACAAATTTGACACTTATTAAGAAGTGCAAAATTTTGGGATCTCTTGATACCAAGCCAAGGTCAGGTAGATAAAAAAAGGTTTCAGCCGCAACTACCAGAAGAATTGTTCGGGATACAAAGAAAAACCCACGGGTAACCTCAGGAGAAATACAGGCTACTCTGGAAAAAGACGGTGTGCTTGTTTCAAGGAGCACAATACGTCGATAAATGAACAAAAACGAGCTGCATGGAATTGTCAGAGTTGAGTCGAGTTGCCAGAAAGAAGCCTTTACTGCGTCAATGCCACAAAAAAGCCCACTTACAATATGTGTAGCGGTACGCTGGTACTGACAAAAACTTTTCCCTCCACTGGATCCATGAAGACAGGAACTCTAGAACACGATGCTGAAATCCCCCCCCAGTAACTGGATGACACACAGTTCTGGGAGTACAGCTGATTTATTTCACTCAAACACAGCCTTTTATGCACAGACCCCCAGCACGGGGTCGTCCAAACAAAATATACACATGCTCCTCCCCGGCGACCCGTTATCTTAGAGATAATTGAGTCAAAACTGAGTAACTCAATTATCGCTCAGTTACAGTGAAATACAGAAAACATAAAAAAACATCCCCCAAAAATATTCATAATTTACATGAACCCCACAAGTTTTATATCCCCGAATAGCTTAGATCTGAGCGCACAACATATACAAATAGCACTCAGATCTGTTCGATAGAACTGAATCGCCATTCGGGTAAAGTTCTGACCGGACAGCCACGAGGCGATGGCTCAAAATAGTTCCAGGGAATTGAGGACAATGGCCGGTCTCCTTTCGGGGGTTCCTGTGCAAACACCAACGAATGCTTCCCCTGGCTTCTAGGGAGCGAATGCTTCCTCCAGTCGGTAGTTCCTATCTCCTAAATGCCATTCAGCTAGTTGGTCGGGAAGTTGAATGGGCAACGGTACCGTATTTGCCCGGGTTCGTTAGATTGCCTGGCTGAAAATAGTTCCAGGCGTTCGACGACCATATTCCGCTGCCTGCGTTCGGGAGACAGGGGAAGCACTCGAGTTAATTACTTAAGATGTGGTTAGCAGCCAGGGGAGGTAGGTGTTTGTGGAAGTATAAAAAGGGGGACCACCCACCATACAGGAGACAAACAAGGGGGTACAGAAAAACACCGGGAATCTTGTGAAAATTAATGCCAAGATGAATGCAGCATGTTATCAGAAAATACTGGCAGACAATTTGCATTTTTCTGCACGAAGGCTGCGCATGGGACACTCTTGGAGTTTCCAGCATGACAATGAGCCTAACCACAAGGCCACGTTGACCCTCCAGTGGTTACAGCAGAAAAAGTTGAAGGCTCTGGAGTGGCCATCACAGTGCCCTGACCTTAATATCATTGAGCCACTCTGGGGAGATCTCAAACTACCAAAAGACTTTGCATGACCTGGAGGCATTTGACTGCATGCTGTCATTGATGCAAAATGGGACAACACACAGTATTAAGAACTAAGGGTATGCAAACTTTTGAACTGGGTCATTTCATTTTTTTCCTTTGTTGCCATGCTTTGTATAAGATTGTGCCATTCTATTTTAACCTACAGTTGAATATGAATCCCATAAGAAATAAAAGAAATTTGTTTTGCCTGCTCACTCATGTTTTCTTTAAAAATGGTACATATATTACCAATCCACAGATGGTCAGGTCAGCACTCATACGTCTTTTTTCTGCAAAAACGTTTAAAATCATAAACTTTCAACAGGAAAACTACTTAATACAAAACCCTCATGTATATACATACCAGTAATATATTTGCTCACCCTCCAGCAATGTTTGAAAGCGCCGTTTAAGTGTGTTCTTGGTTTGAAAACACAAGCAGCATGTGTCCCATATCTTACTCTCAACGGGACAGACTTGCTTCCGCACCTCAGTTGCAACGGTTGCCAAGACAACAGAGATGTAAACCATTGAGGCAGATCCCTGCATTACAAAACAAAATACTCAATAATCTTCACTTCAATAGGTCTACTGATAACCTCACTCTGCTGTAGTACTACTTGGGGCTACCCAGATACATAAGAACGCATTGGAAGTGTGTGGGCGGCTATACCTGATGGAAGTTTGTGTCAGCTACTGACTGATTTCCTGGACTCTGACCCCTCCCTGCTTTACCGACTACTTTACTCCACTGCCTTCTGCTTCTCGTCTGACCCTGCCTTTGGATTTCCCCTTAATCTGTACTGCGCTTCTGTATTTTCCCTCCTCCCTGTGCCATCTCCTGCAACTGGGCTCCAACCCCTGGTATACTGTTACATCAGCTCATTGAAGTGGTCTGGCTGCAGTGTCACAGCTCCCTTAACTCTGCAAAGGTAACTATTGCAGTTTTTAAGAAGCTGCAATAATTACCTTTCAGGGTTAACTCCACCACTAGTGGCCAGATCATTAGGCGACTTTTGGTTCCCTAACTGACGTTGGACGTCCTCACATTTAAAATGAGGACTTCCAGCGTTACCCAAATCCCCTTAGAAAAGCATTGTTTAATGCTTTCCTATGGGGAAATCCTAATGCGAGTGCGGCAATTACCGTGCATGCGTATTAGGTCTTCCCGGCTGGCTTACGTCGGTAGGAGGAGAAGCGAAGGCGGACCTGAGCCAGCACCAAGAGACCTTGGTGCTGGACTGAAGGAGTTTATAACCATTTCTGCACCATATAGGGATGGAGGTGCAAGGGAGGAATGTCCCTGGCACAATAGTTTCCCTTTAACATCCATAATGCTTATACATCAAGCGAAAATATCTAATTGTAAAACACTTATAGCTTAAAGACATGACTGCACATTTGTTTTAAAGTTAATTGGGCACTGCTCAACACTGTTCATTGTGTATGTGAAAGGGGAACTTATTACAGAAGCCCTGCCAAATTCTATATGAAGGGACAAGTGATTACTGTTACCATTGATAGATGTTTTGGAACTATGATGAAACATAAACTGTTACACTGACTGACATATTCAGCTAATAAATCTGCTTGATTCAACATGCCACATGTCATAATCACCTGGTAGTATACTCTATTCACCGCAACACACCTTGGCTCCATAGCACAACCTAAGCACAATGCAAGCCAACATCATGGCAACCTCATAACAATAAATCAAATTGTTCAAGCCAATAGTGAACAGTGCTTTATCTCCCCCTCATATAGGCCTCAGTACTACTGGGAAAAGCACCTGCCCAATACTTCATGTGTAAAATATAGTTTTTGACTTCTTAAAATCAAAGATGCTCTAAAACTGTGTTTTAGAGCAGTAAGACGTTTAATGATGATATAATCAGTGAAAATGCAGTTTGTGTGAAAAATGCAAAAAACAAATGTGCCCACTCACTTTAACCAGGCTTTGTGACTAAGTGGCTATTAAAAAGACTGAACATACTCCATTGTGAATACACTGGGTTGTCTACTTTTGCAAGTGGTATGCGATGATGGGGTAATTCTAAAACCTGGGCTTCCATATGGTATCAAAGGCAACATAGGCCCAGCAAACAGAATTGGAAAATTTCAAAAACTGAAAAGGGCAAACCCCATGTTTGACCCTATAACCTTCCGAAACACCATTAAAAACCTGTACATGGGGGAAATCGCTGTACTCCTAGAACATCACACCATACAAGTATGTGTGTTTTATTACAGTAAACACTACAGTAATATAGCATTCACAGTTAAAAGGACACTATAGTGACACAGACCACTTCACCTCATTGAAGTGGTCTGGGTGCAATCTCCCTGTATCACTTAGTTCTGCAATGTAAAGTGAATGTCAGACAGCCACTAGAGGCACTTCCTGGTGGCTAACCGATTTTTGGTCTTAATGAGGACATTCAGCATCAGTAAAATCCCCATAGGAAAGCATTGACGCAAGACCAGGGGCTACAGCCCGAGGGTGAATTATATGGCCACTCCCATATAGGTTGATTTAAACCTCTTCCAATCCCTGCCCTATATCATGCCCTTTGACCAATGTGTTCTATGAATGACATTATGACACCTTTATTTACAAACCATACACCTGTTTTGTAAACCCTGCACCCATAGTATTGATCCCAAACTTGCAGCAATTATTGCAATAAGTAAAAAACTGCCCCCAGAGTAATACCCCATACCGAGTTGTACAATTAAAGGAACAGTCCACTTAAATATTGTTTTCTTTAACAATTTCGTAGATATACAGTAATGAAGAAAGTGCAATATATACAGTGAAGACAAAATGGGTGTGATCTATCACCTGAGTGGGAAACCCCTTATACCACTCAAATATAAACACAAGAACAATACATACAATAGGTGGATCACACTCCTAAAAATATCTAAAAGAGAATGAAAAAAAAAACAATATAGTGTAATATTGTCAGCAAATGGATATCCAAATAAATGTAGAGGAGATCAGGTACTCACAAACCAAGAGCCAAACATATACATGTGGCTCTCATGGGAACAGCACTGGGACCATTAGTTAGGATGTCCCTTCTGGTAGCAAATATAAATGACTGTAAACACTTACTACTTCAGTAAAGTGTTTATTAATCCAAAAGGTAAAACAGCAATGGAGATAAAAAGAATTACTCCAATAAAATACAATATAACTCCCTTATTGGACTACATATATAGTAAAAGAGTCCAATAAGGGAGTTATAAAGACTTTTTTCCACATGTCCCAAGGTGGAACGCACACTTCACGCGGCGTGCCTTGCAACCAGACTGACATCATGTCAGCATGACGGCCGCAATCCGGACACCATCACGCTGGAATCCAGGCCGGCGTCTCCACCGGAAAGACGTCACAACCCGGATATGGCACGCGGCGGTACCGGAAGTGCGTCCAACTCGGGACATGTGGAAAAAAGTCTTTATAAATACTTTTTTCCACATGTCCCGAGGTGGAACGCACACATCACGCGTCGTGCGTTCCAACCAGACTGACGTCATGTCAGCATGACGCCCGCAATCCGGACGCCATCACGCCGGAAGCCAGGCCGGCGTCTCCACCAGAAAGACGTCACAACCTGGATATGGCGCGCGGCGGTACCGGAAGTGCGTTCCACCTCGGCGATATGCGTTCCACAGATAGAAGCCGGCCATCCTACACATATAAAAGGATGCCAAGGGAGAAGAGATACATATTATCGACTGAGGAAGCCCCTGGTACGGGGCGAAATGCGTTTCGGATTTACAGAGACTCCCTTATTGGACTCTTTTACTATATTACCCTTTTTTATGTATTTTATTGGAGTAATTCTTTTTATCTCCATTCCTGTTTTACATTTTGGATTAATAAACACTATACTGAAGTAGTAAGTGTTTACAGTCATTTATATTTGCTACCAGAAGAAGGGACATCCTAACTAATGGTCCCAGTGCTGTTCCCATGAGAGCCACATGTATATGTTTGGCTCTTGGTTTGTGAGTACCTGATCTCCGCTACATTTATTTGGATATCCATTTGCTAATTTCGTAGATATACCTACAAAATAATCATGTATTTATCTTGTCTGCATGTTTTCTTTGAGGGTATATTGGAAAACCTGCTGTCTACAACCTCTCACCTCTTACCCCAGTGCAGACTTTCAGTCTGTGCATGGTAATATGCCAATCAGAGGCTCATCGAAGGTGCTCTTGTGCTGGTGACACAACGGCACGCGCAATGTTAGCTTTCCAATACTTCTCAAAGAGCTGTAATACAGAGCCCTGTGGATCTAAGAGAAGTGGAAGAAAACCTGCCAGCTGCTGAAATACCTAGGCTGGTGATAACACTGCTGCCAACAACTCATACTCCAAACTAGTCACCTCAGTAGTTAAAAAGACTAGAGTCACCAGAACTACTACAGCTTAATGTAGTGGTTCTGGTGACTAGAGCATGTCCCTGCAGGCTGAGCACTGTAAACGCTGCCTTTTCTGTGAAAAGGCACTGTTTACATTGCTGCCTAGGAATACCTCTAGTGGCTGTCCCTTGGATTGCCACTAGAGGTGCTTCTTGTGGTGTTCAGTGTCTCCACTATCTGCATGGAGACACTGAACGTTCCCCATAAATATGCATTGATTCAATGCATCTCTATAAGGGGATGCTGATTGGCACAGCATGGAATTTGGCTGCGCATGCACAATAGCCTCCTCATGCTTACCTTTGTTAAAGCATTGGATTGGCTGAGCTCATGAGGCAAGGTTACCTGCATCAAGGACAGCATTTGATAAAAGATGAGTTTAAACACCTTTTGAGAGTGATCTAAGGGGGACGGGGAACCAAAGTAGTTAGTTTAACACTAGAGTGTCATGAATATATGTATTCCTGACTCTATAGTGTTCTTTTAATGACAAATACATCTAGGTATGCCGGGATCTTATTCTGTCTAGCCTCAGTCTGTGAGTTAAGGGGGTTGCCCTAAAATTATACAGAGAAGAGTAATATGCACTGAACTCAGATTAAATATCACCTACTTCCTACATCCCTCCCTTTACTACCTCTCCGCTATTTTCATTTTCTCCTGCCTCTCATCCTCCTTGCCAGCCATAACCAAAATATTAATTTCTATATCCTACTTTTTTTTTTACTCATGGCTGAGCTATGCAGAATGTCTTTACTTTCATCTGCCCAGTGAACTAATGAACAAAGGGTTCCAATTCCCCCCTCCCCCCCAAAAGGTAAAATGATGGGGAAACATCAATTATCTTTTTCGCACAAGATCTAGTCCTAGCATTTACCATTGGTTGAGGACCTACATAAAAATATTACAGGCTTACATACAATGGACATAAACATACAGACTCACAATCATACCGTCAAAGACAGAAATACAGACACAGGCATAGAGGCCCAAACCTATGCAGTCACACAGTCATGCAGACTCCTTCAAGTACACAGTCATACAAACACAAATATATAGGTGCAGGCATCCAATCAAACAGTCACAGACATAGGGACAGTTATGCAGATACATTCAGACACACAGACATACAGGCACATTTATACAGATACCCCAACACAAAAGTGGAATACTAGAGAAGAATAGTGAGACAGGGCTTCTACAGAGTGTTGTATATGTGTAGGGAGGCTGCCTGTAGTGTTGCATGTGTTTGTAAACTACTCGTGGGATTGTATATATGTGTAGAAGGGGCTGTTTGTGGTGTAGGGTGTGTTTGAAGGGGTATGTTTGTGGTGAACTATATGTGACTAGGTGCTGTAGTCTAAGGGCTGTCAAGTGTTTGTGAAAGAATGTGTGTTGGGGCTGTAGTGTGTGTATCGAGAGGATGTATGGTGTTGATGTCTAGGGAATGCTGCGTGTGTGCAGAAGCTAGGGTGTATGTCAGAGGCGTAACTAGAAACCATGGGGCCTGGTGCGAAAATTGCCCTTGTGTCTCATTTCCACCCCAGCCCCTCCATATGTCTCATTCTCCCCCCCAAGTGTTGTATTTCCTCCAATCCAGCCCTACATTCCGCACCAAGTGTCTCATCCCACCCCCAAACCCCTTCAAATGTCTACTTCCCCCAAGCCCCTCCATGTATCTCTCCCCCCTCCCCTGCAGTCCCTCCATGTGTCTCTCCCCACAACCCCATACCTGCGCGCCGCAGTTGCGGTACCCGTCTGACAGGAAGTGCTCTCTCAATGAACACTTCCGGTCAGACTTCTCGGCCACACTACACACAGCGGCAGGAGGGGAGCAGCACAGCATTCTTCTCCTACCGCTCAGCCTGTAACCACGTGCTCTGGCCGGTGCTGCAGGGCATGGGCCCAAAAGGTATGCCGACTGCCCACGATCGCGGGCCCCGAGATATGCCAGCGGTCAGGCCCCTTGTAGTGATGGGTCCAGTCGCCAATGCGACCCCTTCGACCATGGCAGATATGCCACGGGTGTGTGTAAGGACTGTATAGGCATAGGCGTGCGCAGCCTATTGTATAAGGGTG